CAGATTCATCAGCAGCTCATTCTCGATAGATCTTACCTGACATTTCTTCTCATAAGAAAACAATGGAGCATAGCAGAATCTCTGGTTTCCTTTATCCAGGATACAACAGAATTATAGAGAAGAGTGAATCTTAAAGGAATAGCCAATCTGGGAAATACATTTTCTTTTAGATTCATAGTGAGATGATAAGATCAATATTACTTTCATGTCCATTTGTCCAGTGGAGAGATAAGTCTGGGAAACGTTTAGCAGACACAACACGACTGGACACCAAGGGATACTATTCTATATGATTATATACTAGCTCTGTCCAAAGTGAAAATAAACTTTTTAAACATTTCACTTATGTTGCATTTTGCTAACATTGCACATGCAGTAATTACTACAGATTGTTCACTGCTGTAATTTATTCTGTATAGCAACTGGCTTTACAAATCACATAAGTAACTCTGTACCATGACCCTTGTTAGTGCTCCCATTAATTGATCTTAATGCCAGCATGGCTGTTGCCTATGCATAAGTGATTATGTGAGTTTTCAGCTCTTTATTATATTGTTATTGTGGCTGACAAAATTTTTTTGTAGTTGTGTGTAGATTGTACCTATGCTTAGGCTGATGTTTCATCTGTATAACTCAAGTCATTGGAATAATTTTTATAGTATTTAGTAAAGATCTTGCCTCAGATTTGGAGAGGACGGTAAGTCTGGCAGAATTTCTCACAGCTATAAGATCAATGCAGAGTGGGAGGTCCAGATGGTTATACTACTGATTTTTATAAGAAGTTTGCTGACAAACTCGCTCGTCTCTTGCTTAATATGTACCAAGACTCAACTGAGAGCGGTCAGTTACCGCCGACATTAAATCAGGCATCCACATCTGTTTTACTCGAAAAAGACAAGGATCTGTAGAGCCTTACGCCCCCTCTCACTTCTCAATGTAGTCAAGATCATTGCGAAGGTGTTTCCCTCCCCTTTGGATCAATTCTTCCAAATATAATTTCTGAAGACCAAACAGGCTTCAGAAGAAAACTTTATATACTCCCCCAGAAATATCTCCTCCTCTGAAGTCCTCATCTCCCTGGAAGCAGAGAAGGCCTTTGACCGCACTGAATGGGATATTTATTTACAGTACTTGATACATTTAGTTTGGGGTTTAATCTTATTGCATGGATTAGACTTCTCTATTCCTCACCACAAGCATCAGTCGGTCTCCATTCTCCAACATCTCCAGGGGAACTCGTCAGGGGGTGTCACCTATCTCCCTTGCTTTTTGCCATAGCAATCAAACTGCTCTCCGTAGTGCTACAAACTTTCCCATTAAGCACTGTGCGGCTCTATATGCAGATGACTTGTTATTTTACTTAACTAACCCTGAATTTTGTATACCAACAGTTATTTCACTTCTTGAGGATTTTGGATAATTTTCTGGGTATAAAGTAAACTTTAATAGGCGTAATGATGTTCCCATTTAATGAAAAAGCCTTACAGGTTTCATTTCAGTTTCACCTATCCTACTCTGGTTTAAAATGTCTTTGTATTAAAATTACTCACTCTCGCTCTTCTCTACATAACAGTTAATTGACCCCATTGTTAAATCTAGTGAAACTTGATTTTAATAGCCACCCGTTATCCCATTAATTGGTAGAATCCCAGTCAGTAAAAATGAAACATCCTCCCAAAATTCATATACTGTTTTCAGTGTCTCCCCATATTCCTTCCCGAAACTTTTTTTAGGTAATTTTTTTTAATTTAATTAATTAGGTAACAATCAGTCATTTTATTTGAGGAGGCAAACATCCTAGAATTAACTACTATTAACTACTTGGATCAAACAGAGAGTTGGATGGTTTAGGTCTTCCCAGCTTTATTTACTACTACTGGGTGGAAAATATACAAAAAATATAATTCTGGCTTCGGGCACTGGAATCTAGTTGGTGCTCATTAAAGGCTCAATCATGTCACTCATCTTCACTCTCAGCGTTCTCATCACTCATCTTGTTACATCTTGAACCCTATATTACTTTCTACTTTAAAAATATTGATCCAATTTCGAAAGCACTATAAATTTAGAGCTTCATCCATATTAGGACATATTAGCGACATCATCTATTCACTCCCTCAACCCTTGACTCTAGTTTTGTGGAAAGATGTAGGTCTACAAGATTTATTTCAAAACAACACATTTCCCTGCTTCGCTGATCTGCAACAAAAATACAATTTACCTCGCTCTAATTTGTTTAGGTTTTTTCAAGTACGTAATCATATACAAAAACAATTTCCCTGATGTCCTTGCATTCCACCTAAACTCACTTGGGAAAATATGTTAAGCTCAAAACCCCCTGCTAAAAAAATATTATCATTCTTACATGATAGCCTCCTAAGTTTAGTTCACCCAACTTAAAAAAAAAAAAAAAAATTCATAATGGGAGAAAAAAGTAGATATTGAGCTGACAGAGGACAATTCGGAGGAAGCATTAAAATGGGTCAACTCCTCTTCCTCATGCACTAACTTAGCATTCATTCAATTTAAAGTCCTGCATAGAATTCATTTCAGCAAATCCAGGTTAGCTGACATTTACCCAAGCTTAGATCCACGGTGTGACTGCTGCTCTCATTCGGCCGCAGATCTGACCAGTATGTTTTGGGCTTGCTCTGCACTTCAAAACATCTGCTCTCTCAGATGTTTTAGGGGTCCCCATTAAAATAAATCGACAAACTGCCATATTTAGAGTACCAAATAATTTGTTCTTATCCATTAACACTAGACAAAGTGATATTATTGCATTCACAATTCTTTGGGCTCATTGGAGGATTCTGTTCCCCTTACCACCTCCACATTCTGGGTGGTGCGAGCGGTTTAACTCAAAATGGGAGTCTTTTCTTTCTTACTTTGTGAATCTGTGTGTACTACCATCAGAGTGAAGACTAGATAGTGGCAATAGATGTTCATTGTGAGATTGTAAACCTATTATGAGCAGAGACTAAGACACGGCATTCAATATTCACTTTATTTTTGCATTATGATTTTTTTTATTTTTTTATTATCGGATACTATAATAGAAAAAAAAAGTTTTTATGCTGTATTTGTACTTTCATCTCCAATAAAAATACTGCGGAGGAAGAACTTCCATGTAAGGTAACATGAGGCCAGGCGTTGCTGTGGCATAGCCTGCCTTGACTGAATGAATGTAGCTGATTGTGGAAAAACTGACAATACCTGATTAATAAATGATTCATGATGATACTGATCTTGTGTATTGGATTGGTGCATCCCCAGTATGTACATTCTTATGTCTTTTTTTATCTAGCTAGTTTCACAGGGTTAATAGCAAGTCAGAAAATCAAGACTAGAGTGAGTAGTAGAGTATTAATTTAAATATTGGTAATAAGAGATAAGCTGGATGTGATATCTGAAAATCCTCAAATCTCAACTAGTTTATGGCAATATTAGATCTTAACTGATATTTGCAAAGAAAAAATACAAAATCACAATATATGTTAAAACTGCAATGTACCTCACATTACACCCCTATTGTCAACTTGAGGTATCTAACAACTTAGGTTTGGTAGTTCAAAGAATATACAGTAATACACAAACAAATCATTTTCCGAGTGCCAAGTAGGTTACTGCTCAATGAGTTACTGACCCATTCACTGTAACGGCTGCCTAGTTCCCTTGACACTGTTGCAACAAGAATACAACTGAGAGAAGCAACTACTGTCAGCCAAGGGGGTTGAATAGAGAGAGAATAGATGTAGGAGATATACGAGGGACACCATGAGAGTGGTGCTCCTAAGCTGCCATCTCATCAGTAATCTCTCCTGACAGGCTTCTGTGTTGTTTAACTACTTCTTTGAGATGATTGAGTGACCGAAAGAGAGAAAAGATAAATAAAAGACAGATAAAAGAGAAGAAGATAAAAAGAAAAATTACACCCGAGGAGCAAATAAAGGAGATATTACAGCCTGTCCTACATATCAGCTGTGCTAATGACTGTTGGAGTTCTCTCTGTAATAACCTGAGTAACCACATCACCACAGGGGTACTCCATGAAATTCATCCCAACCAGCTGAGACCTCTGTAAGTCTGAAAAATGTAGAAGTAATGCTGTGTGCACTTCAATTGCAATCATGTAGTGTGGCTCAATTTAGCACCTGCCTTAATTACAATGGTAAGTCTGAGCCTCATAAATGAAAGAGAGGGTTGGGGGAGTTTTTATAAAAGACTAGGTGTGAGCTAAATTAGCTGTGAAACTAACAAATGAAGGCAATTAGGCAAGTAGCCCTCAGTCTGTCTGCACAGTCTAATTGAGAAACCAGGCCAAATACTATCTGGAACAACTCAACAGTTGCTTAAACTTTTTCTTAAACTGTTTTGCTGACAATGGTCCACATTTAGGAAATGCTGATACAACTAATTAGAGAGAAGCCTTTTACTAAAGCTTTGTGATATTCATCAAAGTTTGCATTTGTTGCATTTATCTAAAACAAGGCAACAGCAGACATATAAACACAAGAAAACCAACAGCTTGATTTTACAAAAATTACATTCCCATTTGAACCAAATAACTGATCGAGTGAGAATTAAAAGGAAGTAATGAAAAGAGAGTAGATAAAGGGACAGAGAAAGAATGGGGGGTGTAAGTGAAGCGTAAACAGAGTGGACTATGGAGAGAAGATGATGAGGGGAGATGGAGCTGTGACGAGATGAAGAGAGATGTGGATGGAGAGGATCAGACAAGGTTGCAGGATCTTAGAAGGAGAGAGGGGAATAGCGGTTCTGTAAACTCAAACTGCTGCAGATGTCTGGGGAGGCCCTAGAGATCTGTTAAAGTGACGCAATGCCTTCTCTTCTCTTCTCTTCTCTTCTCCCTATTTCTTCCTTTTGTTTTCTTCTATGTATCTGCAGCTTTAGTACACTGTTGGTGAAGGATACTGGTCTAAAATTAGTACAAATATACACACACACGCACACAAAAAACATCCAAAACAACTTCTCACCCCGGCAGTAGCCATCCATCTCCTCATGACCAATGCTACAGACACAGCGGCCCAGTGGTACCAACCAGTCTCCATCAGCACCACAGTACAATTTGGGTGTGTCCCTCTCTTCTGCATTCTCCACACATGCACCCCTCACTTCCACCAGAGAGGATGAGTCCATATGCGGCACTGTGTCAGGAAATGCCGCCAGGTTCCTTAAAGTTGATGGGCAGCGTTTGTAAAACACCTTAGGGAAAGAGAAAAATAGTTGCAGGTACTGCCAGTCTTGTGAACAAAATAAAACTGACAAGTTCATGGCTGTAGTTCATGCAAACATAAGTCACACCACCCTGTTCACTGACCTTGACAGACACAAGTGCAATACAAGCTCCCACATCCTGGAAGGCCAAGTAGAAGCCCTTCTGTGTCACCGGCCCCACCTCCCTTACCTCAGTGTTGAGGCGAAGAACACGATCTCCAAGATCTGTCTGTGTAAAACTCTCATCTGCTGCTATGGTGTCAACCTTAAACCCAACAACAAAGACTTTATTAGTACAGTCCATTGTTGCTGAATGAGACCAGTAGCAACAGAGAACTATTTTTCATGATACAGATCCGATAACCAACCTTTGCATAGTCAGTTGGCCGAAACCGTGTCCCTGCAGAGAGGGGTTCCTCTGTCTGCAGGTAAAAAAGGTTGAAGGTTTCCTTACAGGTACCAGACACCCAAGGAATGGAGTTGCAGTCTCTCAGCGTGAAACGCAGCTCTACATATACCTGAGTTAAAATGTAGATAAACGGATAATCACAAGCTCATAAGACATTACAAATACATGTATTTAGAATAGACTCTAGTGGCCTAATATTTCTAATTGAGATATAAATGTTAATTTAACAAAGACAGGGTTCATATTTACATATTATACAAAAAGTGCAAGAATCATAACATGGATCAATTAATAGAAAGTAATAAAAATACGAAAAAGAGACAGCATAACATTTGAGAGTACAAACAATAGTAACAATAGCAATAGTAAAACAGATACAAGAGAACCCATGTAAACATTTGGATGGTGTAAATGTAAATGTAAGCCATTTTAAACTGTACTGTATGTCACAAATAGGCCCTGCTTCAACACTATAAAGTAGTGTTTGGTCCAAATATCTGGAAAGGACTTCTGAGCAAGTACAGTGTGTGAGTGTGAGTCTGAGGAAGTGTTGTGATGTGGTCCAGACCCGCTGTGCAGCCTGCCGCTGGATCCATCCAGACCGTAGCCAGTTGTTCTGGTTTGGCTCCATTACATGGCAAACCTGGAAGGTGTGAATAGGTCTGTTCTGCTCATCCATCTCTGTGATAGCATCCCACTGTAAAAATAAAGTTAGCAAATATGGGCACATTTGTAAATAACAATTGCCATATAGCGAGCAGAGTATTTGGTTAGTAACTTAATTGTCTGTATTTGGCTCCATTACTCACATGG